TATTTTTGAAAAATGCTTTAAACTGAAGTGGAACCGACCAAGAATAAAGATCCTGTTTGCAAAACGTCTTTGAAATTAACAACAAACAACCCACAAGAAATAAATATCCTACTTTAAACAAGTCTTGCAATTAAACACAATCCACCAAAAATAAAGGTCCCCTTTAAAAAATGTCGTACATCCAAACTCAACCCAAAAAGAATAAAGCTACCATTTGAAAAAATATTTCATACTCAAGCACAACCCAACAGAAGTAAAGATGATGTTTGCAAAATGTCTTACAAACAAGCCTAGACCACTAAGAGTAACGATCTTATTTGAAACATTTTATACAATGAAGCACAACCCACCATAAATAGCCTGCTTCAGAAATATCTTATAATAACTCACCATCCACTAGGAATAAATAAAATAGTTTTTAAAATTATTTTGGAGTAAAACGAATTCCACCAGAAAAAAAAAAGAAAGAAACAAAAAAGATATCTTTTGGAAAATTTCTTAAATTCAAGCACAACTCGCAGAGATTATCGATCCTGTTTAAAACCACCAGAAATAAAGATTCTGCTTGAAAATTGTATTACAATTCGAGTTCAACCCCCATAAATGAAGATCCTGGTTGCAAAATGTCTAACTACCAAGCACAGCTCACCACAAATAAAGATCTTGCTTAAAACATGACTTATAATTAAGCAAAACCTACAAAGAGAAAATATTTTGTTTGAAATTTCCATACACTAAACACGACCCAACAGGAATAAAGATCAAATTTAAAAACTTACAATTAAGCACAATCTTCTAGAAATATAGATCCTTCTTGAAAACTATCTTACAATAAAGGTCAGCCTATTGAAAATAAATATTATGTTTTAAAAAAGTCTTACAATCAAACAAGCCACAAGGAGTAATAATCCTGTTTGAAAGAAATCTTACAATATAATAAGACACAAGGAGTAGTGATCCTGTTTTTTTTTAAAAATATTACAATTAAACAAGCCAAGGAGTAATGATCCTGTTTGAAAAAAAAGTCTAACAATCAAAAAAGCTTGAAATATTTAATATACTCTAATCCCTTATAGTGATGACACACGACGAGAAACACATTCGGCATATAATGCTGTTTGCATACAAGAAGGGAAACAACACGAATAATATCAAAGAAGTTTATGGAAATGTTATGAACGTTCGTAAGTTTCAAAGTTGGTTCAGCAAATGTCGCTCAGGTGACTTTAGCCTTAAAAACTGTGATAGCAGAGGCCGACATGTTGGAATTGTATTGATGCACTGAAGACGCTAGTTGAGTCTAACAATACGTAAACTTCAAAGGAATATGGGAAAACACCATAAATAATGTATTTGGGTGCCTCACAAACTCTCCGATAATCATCGTTTCCAACGTGTGAACGTTGCTTCGTCTCCTCTGGCGCGTGAATCATTTTGGACAGAATTGTCACCGGTGATGAAAAATGGATTCTCTGTGCGAATATTAAACGCCAAAAACAATGGATCAGTCCTAGACAAAAACAACTTCCGACCCAAAAACC